AAAAAAAAACTTTGATTCTTCATTTAAATAATTTTAAATTTATAATTTTTTAAGTATTTTTTTATAAGCTTTCATAAAAGGAACACCAAGAATTTCCTTATCGGATATAATGCAAAAAATAAGTTAAAATCTGATAAAATTTTATCGATATACTTTTTTATTTAACACGCTTGTCAATATTAATTAGTTTAATTATTAAATTTTATAGTTAAAAAATTTTGTCTTAAATTTAAATTTAAAAAAAAAAATTTTTTTTAATAAATGTTATGTTAAATATATTAAATTAAAAAATATATTAATTATTATCCAAGTTCAACAAATAAAATCTCTCATTAATTGTAATAAAAAGCGCATATAAGGAAATCTCCTTTTTGTAACTTGCACAATTTTAGATTTTTTTTTAAAAAAAAAACCATTAAAAAATGGCAGGAAATCCGAAGAGCAAAGTTGGACGTACCTAGCTAGCAGCAGCCCATAATAAAGTCTAAGCTAAGAGGCAATGAGAGTCATGAAAATCAGAAGGAAATTGAATAAATAGACAAGAAGAAAGAAAGGAAAATCAACAAAGTAGTAAGAAAATTATACAACGCACAAGTGTGAAGGAATAGTGGATTCTGGATTTAGTCTCGCATTCGTAGTCACAGCTTGATGAAGCTATCTCGGTCCTGATGGCTGCCATGCATGGCATTTCCTTTCATTATCCATATTTCTTGAAGCCCTTCCCTTCCAACTAGGGCATGGACTTTTGCCCACCTAACACGCACACACACACAAAGAAAAGTGCCTGAAAGATCATGTGATGGATCATGTAGGTGGATTGAAAGTCTTTGGGGTAAGAATCCGCCATTTGTAATTAAATGACTGAGAAAGAAAGAAAGAAAATTTGGTTTAATCAAATTAAAACTTTCTTTTTATTTTTTTCAATTTAAATATTTTTTTAATTATAAAATTACATAATAAAAAATAACTTTCCTCACATCTGTTAATTTTTTTCATTTATGACATGTGAGTCAAATTGATTTTTTTTTTTTCACAATAAAAAAAATCATTAAATCATTTAATTCATTTAATTCATTGGTTTAATTCAAATATGTCATTAAAGTTATTTTTGTAAGTAAACATAAGTACAAAAAAGAAAAAAAAAAAAAGAAAAAGAAAAACCCCTTTCATTAGTGGGAGCAGAACCCTAGCGCCCTTGCTCCTCTCCTCCCTCTTGTCCCCATTTCTCCTCCATCTTCTTTTGATTTTTTGTTTCTCTCTTATTCCCCTTTTTTTTTTTAACGGTTTCATTTGATTATTTTAGGTGTTTTTTCAAGGGTTCATACCTCATATCTATGAAGCTAATTTACGTAGGAGTTCATGCTTTGAAGCATGGTTCGTATATATTTTATTATTATTTTATATCCTTTTTTTATTGAAAGTTTACAACAAGAAAAATGGTTAACATGTGGTGTATTACTTTAAAATATTTTTAATAATGATCGATATCAACAATTTCCTATTTATTTTTTGATTTTAATAAATTATGTTGATTTATGGTTTTACTCTAAGATCCAAATCTAAGTTCACTTATAATATTCATGTAATAATTAAATTACTTTATTATCATACATTTTATCAACTATTTTATATCTTTTAATTAGGTATTATAGTAATTTTACTAGACTACACTATCTAAGTTAATTTGTAACTCGAGATAATTTTTTTTTTTCAAAATTATAGTTAAGATGTCTTAAAATTAATTTTTATATACTTTAAAATTAATTTTATAAATTTTAAAAATACATTTTTTATATCAATATAATATATTTAAAAATATTATTTTTTTAAGTGTTCCACTTAAAATTTAAATTCTCAACCTTCCCTGTTACACCAGATTTACATGTGGATAAAACCCAGTTCCTAATCTAGTAAACTTTTTTGTCAGGTGATAAATTATAGATGTCAAATCAAAAGTTCAATTTTGCCACCGTTTTTTTCCCTTTCGGTGAGTGAGCTAAGATTTTCCAGGAAAAAAATATCTTGCTATAAACTAGGATTAAATGAAGAAAAAGCACCGAATTGTCCAAACCCGGATCGGCATGAGATTTACGAAGTCAAAAATGGCAGGGTTAATATTTTACATCACAGGAAAATTGGTAATCTTTTGTCATATCATATGCATAATGAGCAACGACAATTGATTAAAGGTTCCTCAAATCCTAATCCTATATTGGGAAAAACAGAGCATGGCATTAGAAAGTCATACGGTGATTGTATTTGTAGAAATTTAAGATAAAACTCGAGGGGAAAATACGAGCCAATACTGGCAAGTGGGACAAGAACCCACCAAGAACATCATCACTCAGAAATTCAGAACACAAAATTAACTCTCTTTTTTTAAAAAAAAAAATTTAATTCTTCTGTTTGCTCAAGGAATTAAATTTCATGCCATTTAATCAAGATCAGAACTTTGATGATCATCATGATTTTGAATTTGATGGTGATGAATGATGAAGACAGGAGAAGAGAGAGAGAGAACCTTGGACAATGAGAATAGAACCCAACCAGTCAAGAATTATGGGACTTGTGTCCAAATCCAAACTCAACCAAAACAATAACAACAGACACCCACTTCAGAATCTTCTGCCATGCTGCCATATCTATTTTTATAATCTCTTTTTTTTTTTTTCTAAATTATTTTTATGAACACAAAAAGGACATGTGAAGAAAATTCTCATAGCACTGTGAGAACTAATCTTTTAGAACACGATAAGAGGAAGTCGCTGTTGGGTTTTTAATATCAAATTAATTTATTTGAGAAATGGGGTTTTCCCCTTTTGTGGAATTATTGATTTCTATGTGAAAAAGACGATCTTTTGGGTTCTTAAATACACCCATTCGGATTTTTTTTTTTTTTTGACTTGGTTGGATATTCAGAAAACGGGAATTGGAAACTGTAGTTGAAATACTGACAAGAAGAAAGAAAAAGGGGATGTTTGATTTTTAGTAAAACATTCTTTTATTTTAATTTTGAGTTTTGATAATTTAGTGCACGATTTGATTTTGTGGGGATTGGTTAAAATTTTAATTTTTATTTCTTTTTTCTCAAGGGGATTTTTATAGAGACAGAAAGATGTGTCCTTTCAGGTTTATTTGAGATTTCTTTATTAGCCTCTTCTTACCTTAGGGTTCCTTCACTTTACTCTTTGATCTTTGTTGTTTGGGTTACTTCTGCTCTTGGGTTTTTCTCGGCATCGTCGTCTGTTTCGGTAATTTTGCTTATTTGGGTCGGTTGTTCTCTTGCTAATCTCTTCTGGGTCGGTGGCTGTTCTTCAATTTTTGGAGTCCCTACTCTGGTTTTAGGGATTTTGAAGTTGTTCGGGATACGGGATAGTTGGTGAATTTTTTGGGTGGAATTTCGGTAACCCAGATGGGGGATTCTTTGATTTGGGGGGGCGGGATTCTTGATTAGCAGATTTGCAGAGAGTTTTAGGGTTCTGATTTCATTCACAGTGTTACTTTGGGTTTCTGATCGTTCTGAGAGGGCATTGCAAAGCAAGCTTGGATTTTTTTAGCCAGGTTTCAAGCATACTTGTTGGGTTTGGCATGTATACATGATGTTTCATACTCAAGGGTCTTCAAGGAATCATTGCAGTCTCCTTGCAGTCCTCTGTGGTAAAGTTTCCGAGAATGAGCAGAAGCAGGCGGTTACTGGTGATAGGCCCAAATACCCGTTTCCAGAGCTTGCTTCATCAGGGCGTCTTGAGGTATATAGTTTAGCTTCACTTGTCTGGCTGTGCTTTTTCTCTATGGTGCTTCTGTATTTTGGCAGAATTTTTGCTCCCCCTGTTGTAATATGTCATCTCATTCTGATGCAGGTTCAGGTTCTGAACGATCCAAGCCCTGATGAGTTCCGCAGGGTTCTTGAATCATCAGCTCCAAATATGGTTTATTTGCAAGGGAAGCAGAATGCAGATAGTGAAGAAATTGGGTCGTTGGTGTGGAGAGATACTGACTTGTTCACTCCAGAAGCTTTATCTGAACTTTTTGGCTCCACATTGCCAACAACTGTAAGTGATGCACCATCCTGTGCTTGTTATCGTTGTCTGGGGATCTTAAATTGTGGTTATCATCAATGCTTGAGCTTCAAAAAAATGCTGTCTGAAATTATGAAATATAATCAATTCATCTTGTCAGATCCTAAAAATAAGAGCTAGGATTGAATTCGTTAATCTTTCTTTAAGATTATTTGCTCTTACTAGTATTAGTTATGGTAGTTTAATCAATCTGCCCTCAAATATTTTTGTAGGTTTACTTAGAGATCCCAGATGGTGACAACTTGGCAGAGATGCTTCATGCTAAGGTTCGACAATCCTATTAAATTACTTATTTTTCCTTTAATAAATATTTGATGAACTTCTAGGATTTATGTTCCTTGTGCTCTTTCCTTTGTGTAATTTATTGATCTTGGTTTCCTTCTTGGCAGGGAGTCCCTTATGTCATATATTGGAACAGTACATTTTCATGTTATGAAGCTTGCCATTTTCGTCAAGCACTGTTATCAGTGGTACAAAGGTATGAATCATCTAATTCTTGTCATAGATATACTTGACCTGCAATTGCAAACTGAAGTTTATTAGTTTAGAGGCTGGAGTGATTTTTTTGATGATGATGTGAAATTTTTTGTGCAATGCAGTTCATGCAGCCATACATGGGATGCATTCCAACTAGCTCATGCTTCCTTTAGACTGTACTGTGTGAGACACAATGATGTCATGCCTTCTGATGGCCAGAAGGAAAGTATTAAGTCAGGGCCACACCTGCTTGGAGACCCTCCCAAGATTGATGTTTCCATGCCAGAGGTAGATATGCAGGGGGAAGAGGAAGAGTCTCCTGAAATCCTTCCTGCGGTAAAGATATATGATGATGATGTTAACATGAGGTTTCTTGTTTGTGGATTACCGTGCATTGTGGTAACTTTGGTTCCTCTACTTCTTCCTTGTTTGTTTGATTTTAATGCTTTTCCCTGGTGTGCACTGGTTACAACTTTATTCTTTGCAGGATGCCAGTGCATTGGAATATTTGGAGGATGGCCTTAATGCTCTCCTGAGCATAGAAGTAAGTTCAATGTAAATTCTTGAATTTGTTAAATGAGTTATTTGGTCTTAGCTTATAAACTTTGTTCATTCTTCTGTCTTTTTGAATATTATCATCAAGTAGTGATCAGAGTCTTGGAAAAGATGCACCTGTCATTGAATTATTACCATGTCAGTTCTAAAGCTCTCTATGGCATGGAAAGATTGGCATAAATGAAATAGAAGAACCAATCACAATCTTGTGGTTTCTCACACACACAACCTAGGGTGTCTATTAATGCTTTAAATATATTATTTTAACCTTATTAAGTTATGTTTCTAATGTTTATTTCCTGCTGTGGCATTTCTTTCAGGTACGTGGGAGTAAGCTCCACAACCGAACAAGGTATTGAATAATTTTCAGCTTATTTTTATTTTCTTTGGGAGAAAAATCCTGGGCTTTTAATAATTCAGTTATTAATATATGAGAATGTAATTTAGGTTTTAAAATTGAGAACTTATGACAAAAGTATAGTGGTTGTTATTAAGTCTCAACATGCTGATTCTTCTTGTCTTATGAAGTTTCCCTCTCTCCACACCATCCCCAATCCAAAACATCTTTGGCCTCATTGTTGTTTACCACTACTATTGATCTGCTTGACCATATAATTTGCAGTGCTCCGCCACCACCTCTTCAGGCAGGGACATTTTCTCGTGGTCTAGTGACAATGCGATGTGACTTTTCCACTTGTAGTTCTGCTCATATATCACTCTTAGTGTCTGGTAGTGCACAGACTTGCTTTAATGATCAGGCAAGTATAGTTTATCCTTATGGATTAAGCTAGAATACTTTTGGTTAAAGCTAATTTTGGGTCCTTGTTCTTTTTCATGTTGTTGCAGCTTTTGGAAAATCATATTAAAAATGAGCTTATAGAGAATAGTCAGCTAGTCCACACACAGTCCAGCTCTGAGGACCGCAAATTGTCTTCATTTGAACCTCGTAGATCAGCCTCAATTGCTTGCGGTGCAAGTGTGTTTGAAGTTTGCATGAAGGTTCCCACATGGGCCTCGCAGGTTGGATACTCTGATTTTTCGTTCTTTCTCTGAAATTGGATGCATGTGCATCCATTTCTTCCAGTGTGCTGTTTTGTTTGTTTGGATTTTAATTTCTTTCATATACTTGGCAAAGTTGAAAATGGCCAGTTTCTAATAGGCACTAGAACTTTAGTTCATCATTTGACTTTGGATTTGACCCTTATGTGAAGTAAAAAGTGTTGATTAATGTTCTTTTCAGAAGAAAATATTGGCAACCATAAGCTGATTTTATGGTTGAGAATAAGATTTGAGATTGTTTAGTTTGGTTTTGTTCTGCATCCTGAAATGTGGTTGGATGTCTTTTGTTTGAGGGATGTAAAAAGTTTCTGATAAATCATGCTTTAAGAAACCCTTTATAAACCATGAATTTGTTTTGAATTTTGATGATGAAAGTCCTGTTTGAGTTTGGTTGGCTTTAACCTATTTAATCATGTTTTTGTTATGGGATGTGTTAAACAGGTTCTGAGGCAACTGGCACCAGATGTTTCCTTCCGCAGCTTAGTGATGTTGGGAATTGCAAGCATTCAAGGGTTGTCTGTTGCTTCTTTTGAAAAAGATGATGCTGAACGCTTGCTTTTCTTTTGCACAAGTCAGGGAAATGATAACCTTCAGGATAATTCTGTTATTACCAGAATTCCTAGTTGGTTGATGCCTCCTGCACCTAGTCATAAAAGATCAGAACTGTCTAAAGAAGTCAAACGGTGTAAAGTAGGTGAAAATGGAAACTATTCTAGACAGAAAATGAATGTAGCTGCTATGAGGCCAATTCCCCACACCCGACGTCATAAGATGCTGCCCTTTTCTGGATTTTCTGAGCCTGAGAAATATGATGGTGACCATGGGAAGGTTAGCTTACCTGTGGTTCCTCTAAAGCCACCTGCTCCGGTAACACATCGTAAAGCTTTGCCTAGTTCTTATCAGGCTCAGCAGATTATTTCACTAAATCCATTGCCTCTGAAGAAACATGGTTGTGGTAGAGCTCCAATACAAGTTTGCTCAGAGGTTAGTCATTTTCAGCATTTGCTGGATTTAGATTTAGATTTTGATTTGTCAAGTTTCTCTTATAATTATTTTTTTGGCTCTTTTATTCTTTGGGCAGGAGGAATTTTTGAGGGATGTAATGCAGTTTTTGATACTCCGTGGACATACTCGTCTAGTTCCTCAAGGTGGCCTAGCCGAGTTTCCTGATGCAATTTTGAATGCAAAACGTCTTGACCTTTTCAACTTGTATAGGGAGGTAAGCTGAGTTCACTACCACGGAAACATATGATTGGAAATCTGTCAAGAAGTTTGCACTCAAGGATTGTGCATTTCAGGTTGTTTCAAGAGGAGGCTTTCATGTTGGGAATGGCATCAATTGGAAAGGACAAGTTTTCTCAAAGATGCGCAATCACACATTGACAAATCGAATGACTGTATGGTTTCAATCATTTTGTCTAAGCCTCTCAGTTTTCCTCCTTTATAATTCGTGAGCTTGTTATGTGCTTGGGCTTATCATGTATAACGTGGCATGGTTTTGTCAGCAACCATTACATTTGCTATTGGTTTTATTTTAATGTCATCCACTTCACGATTAGACATTTATCTTATTGGTTGTATGAACCTTCAACTAATTGGTTCTTTTTCCTTTGGTTGTCTAGGGAGTGGGCAATACACTAAAAAGACATTATGAAACTTACCTTTTAGAGTATGAATTGGCTCATGATGACGTAGATGGAGAATGCTGTTTGTTGTGTCACAGGTCTCTCTCTCTCTCTCTCTCTCTCTCACACACACACACACACACACACACATGCAAAACTACTTGTTACTGATATCAAGTTTGTGTGTGTCAACAGTAGTGCAGCAGGTGACTGGGTAAATTGTGGAATTTGTGGTGAGTGGGCTCACTTTGGCTGTGATAGGCGGCAGGGGCTTGGTGCTTTTAAGGTATATATGCTGGCTTTATGTGAAAAACTTGGTAAATGCAAGATCTTACTTGATGTTGTATGAAAACTGATCATGACATGCATCCGTTGAATGGCAGGACTATGCAAAGACGGATGGGCTGGAGTACATCTGCCCCCACTGCAGCATCTCAAACTTCAAGAAGAAATCCCAGAAAACTGCAAATGGATATTAACAAAGTTTTTAACCCAGATTTTAGAATTCCATAATTAGCTCTTTTAATTTTTCTTCTTTTTCTTCACCAATATAATGCACAAGAGAAGACACGAAGTTAGGAATGTAATTATTGTATCTGTATCCCCAATTTCCCCCCATTGTTGTTTTAATATATAGACCATGCCAAATTAAGGCCTCCAATTTTTGTACTCTAGAAAACATATCTCAAAGGAAGAGTTACTGTAGAATATATCATATTTTATTCGAATGAATTTAATGAACTAGTTTTGTCAAAATTATATTAGAAGAATATTGATGACCTTTCTATACCATCATGTGTTTTGCTCTAGGATTGTTTTTATGCAGATCTAAGATTAATCTCTTCGAGTACAATCCATGTTAATTTAGAGCATTCAAGAGCTAACGTGTTATATAGGTTATCTCTTCTAAACTGTGTCTATGAACTTTTCCATAAAAAGTAGTTTTTTTATTCAAAAAATTGTATTGCAGTCCGACTTGTAGCTGATTAGAACTATCATCACCATTCAAAGGGGGAGGGTTTCCTAATATTGGATCCTCTCTTCCCCTTATCAAGGGTTTTAATGTTACAGTTCGTTACAGGATAGATTGTATCACAAGATTTTATTTTTTATTTATTAATTGTTCGGCATTTAAATGTCATATTAAGTATTGATTAATTGAGAGTTGAATTAAGTTCGTCTTCATAAAGGAAATCCTTCGAGTATTTATTTTTGCATTTATGAAATTTAAATTCAAAATTTTATTTAAAAAAAATTATATTCTTTTCACTTAAATTAACATATCTTCAGTAAAGTAACGTCTTTTATAAAAACATTTTTTCCCCTAAAATTTATACATATCCTAACCCCTGCCAAGTTGCAAACATGGAGAAAAAAAAATGGAAAGCCTCCTTGGAAGCGATACAAAAGTCGTAAACTATTCCCACAGCAAAACAAAACGTTCTGCCTGCTTTGAAACAGGTTGTGTTGACTGTTAAGAGGAAAATAGCCTTGACAACTTTGCTTTCATTGGACGCGGTTGTTGAGACTTTGAGTGCATTTCGGGGATTTTGTTTGATGCCAATGTTAGAGAATAACAAGCATTCATAATATATAGCTTTTTTCTTAACCAACCAAAAAATTTTGACTATTGATACTCATATAGTCAGTAGCCAAAAATACCATACATTATACATGAAAAATGCATCAATCTCTTTTTTTTTTTGAGAAAAAAAAAATGCATCAATCTCTTTGATGAGTTCTCAGAGCCTGTTTAATCAGATTGGAGCCTTGGTAAAAGTACTGACGAGTAGTGGTCTTATTTATTTATTTTATTTTGCTGTATTCAAGGAGCATTACAATATAAAAAATAGAAAAGTAAATATCAACTTATATTGTAAAATATTAGATAAAAAAATATTTTTAAATTATGTTATTTAATAGAGTTTTATTAGAAAATATTAGTATATCTTAATTTTTTTAAAAACAGAGATTATTTTAATTTTTTAATAATATTTTATTAAAATAACATAATTTAAAAATATTTTTTATTTAATTTTTTATAATAAAGAATAGTATCCATTAATTTCATTTAAAAAAGTATACGAAATAATCATGAATAATTTTGGGAATTGATATATCTCCTCTTTTTCACAAGCTACAAATGTACGCCTTGTAAAATTAACAACACTCCTCCGAAAACAGTGTTTCACCTTATTTTAGCTTATTGCTATTATGAAGTTGTTTACACCATATTTGACAATTTTCTTGATGATACAACGTAAGCAGCTTCTATCATTAGCTGCTTAGAGGAAAGGATTTTAAAGGAATCAGAAATAGTTCTAAAGAGTAAAACAAATAAATAGTGAGACATGAGTACATGACAATAAAAGATTTTTTTAACATGAACCTATATTAAAAATATAATTATTATAATAATTTTACATTAATTGATATTAAAAATAACAAAAAATTTACACTAATGTCATCACCAATGCCATCTGAATTATTTTAATTAAACAATTAATTAAATAAAAGATCCACTTTTATTTTTTTTCAATACTTTACAATTAAAGGTGCCCTAGGTTAAAAAAACCAACAATAAAATAAACAGAACATCCCTCTCTTTAATTATACAGTTGCAGCTATTGCACTCATGTTAGAAGATTCACCAGAAAATGACGAGGAGAGTTCCTTAGGCAATGTTCACATGATTAGAATTCGAGACTTTCTCCTGGATCCCTAGTGCATATCAAACTTCCAAGGCATTAAGTGATGAAACCCCCAGATCATCGCAAAAGCTGTGAATTTTTAAAATATTCCAAGTTATGTTTTGAAGTGATTTTCACGAAGCTCAAACTCTCCCTTCAACCATGGAAAATCATCTTCCTAAATTTCCATATCTATAAGTATAAAAGGATGATAGAAGGAAGAAAAAATAATGCACCTGAAAAAGTTAACATTTACAAGAATGGCAATAATGGTAGTTATCAATAGTTGTTCCTCCACAGCTGTAACAGAAAGCTGTTCCACACCTGTTAGCAATGCATAAGAAAAGGCAAGTTCTTCAGCATTGATGTTAATTACCGAAAGAAACTAAAAGATAGATGCAAATTTGCAAGCTTGAACAGAATAAGACCAATAATGAGGGAAGTGAATGTGCTTAGGTAAACTATGGCTACATAAAAATTTTGGTTTATGAGATGGATAATATGGTATGGTCAACTAGCAGTATTACGTCTTTGTTTACATTTGAAATATCGAATATGTCTGGTGGCATGACAGGAGAGCTTGAGCACAATGCTCAAATGAAACTTAATATGTTGTTCTTGTTTCTCAATGATACTATGGATCCTTGGACACGGGCACTACATGTCAAATTAGAGGAATCTGCCTACTTGGGCTGGGATTAATGAAATCCAGGAATTTAGAGATATGTAAATAAAGGGCTCTTAACAATAACATGAGTTACCAAAGATTGCATAAAATTTTTCTGGACATAAAAAATTTAGGGAAATGAGAAAACAAGTGAGGAGGATGAGTGCTAAAAATTTCTAGGCATCATGCCATGATTAACTAAACTAAGCTAAACCATTTCCAACCTTAACCAATCTAAAATACTAACAAACATATTTAGCGAGAGCCTCTATCATGAATAGTAGTTTGGCATATATATTGACTCTAGTATTCCTTAAGCCATGAATTACAGTAGTAGTTACTAAAATTGAAACTACGCCACAAAGATTAAAGAGGTGAATTCTCCCATGACTGAATCAAAGCATGTAACATGTTGCTCTAGTTTTTCAAGATTAATGGTTGGTTACGCTAATTTACAGTCTTTAAATCCACTACTTGTGGATGTAATTTATGAATTAGACCATGTTGAGAATGTATTGAGTATTGAATAAAGTTGCAATCTTTCATGCAATACTCGGGAACAATATCCTCTCTTTGTTAAGTTCAAGAAAAATAGCTAAGTAAAGAAAAGCAATATTGATAAATTAACTTGAGAAATTGAAACTGACCTGCATTTCATATACCTACAACCTTCGGTCCTCTCCACAACAAACCTGCATTTTGGACATCTCGCCCATTTCTGGTTCTGTGCAAGCTTCAGAAGCATGATATCTTCTTGCTCTCTCTCATCGTCGTGCAATTTCTGAAACTCCGCACATTCAATTCCGGTATGCCATGGAACCTTGCATTGAGCGCAGAACATTCTCCAGCAATTGGGGCAGAATGATTGCATCACCTCTTGGCATCCATCGTCAATCAGAAGGGCTGAACAGTCTTTGTACGGGCAATAGAAGCTCTGGGACCCAAGAATCACTGCCTCACACAGAGCATCTCCCCACCGATTGAACACCTCTGGTGGAAGAATACGGCGGCAGTACTCGGGTTCTAACAAGCCACTGCAATTGGGTACCGGGCAACGGATCGCTGTAATGTTTTCTTGTAATTTGGCGGCGACGAATTTGGCCACGCAGTCGGTACAGTAGGAATGAGAGCACCCCTTGATTCTAAATGACTCGGTTTGGCTCTTGTGTTCGACGCAGATTTCACAGGCAAATGGAGGGGCAGGGGCGGGGGCAGGATCGGGGGCAGGGCCGGCGATTTTTGAATTCGAAGATTCCCCTGGTTCAGTCACAGAGAAATTGGTAAAGGCTTTTCTACGCTTTCGGGGAGTGATCCCCGGTTTGCAATTGAGCACAATCAAGTCTTCATCATAACTATCGAGATCAATGAAGTTCTTTTGAGATGATCCGATTGCGCTTTGGAGGTCTCTGTCTTGACTGTACTGTTCGACGGAGATGGCGTCGTTCATGGTGGTGCCTTTGCCGGAGATGGGTAGGAAGCAGAAGGGATCACCTTCAAGGTCCACAATTTCGATCTGGTCCATTCCCTGTCTCTCAATTTTCGGCTTCTTTTCTGCTCTGTTTTGTTGCTGCTGTTCATCTTTCGGAGAAATCAGTAACCCCATGAGGGTTCTGAGGTTTTTTCTGTTTCTGTTCCTGCGTGGAGTTCAATCGTCAAATTATTTGATTTCGAAAATCCACCACCAGCCCTCCACCTTACTGGCTATGAAACTGTCAGCCCCTCAACTTACATTATGAAAGTTTAGCCCCTCATCTTTTCGGCCCAAATGAAAACACCCGAAACGGACGACAAACTCACGTGCTCGTTAATATTCTGTTATTCATTACCATGTCAACACCAGTGTGACAATTTATTGCTATCGTGGACCGCCACCATGAACAATAATTTCAATAAAAGCAAGAAAATTTTTGCTTACTCTTAGAGTGAGCCTATATCAATCTATCTAAACATTAAAAGTAAAAGGAAACTAATTTAAGGATAATTTTTTATATTATTTTTTATACAACTATACATATTATTTAAATAATTAGCAATGTTTTTGGATCGATTCATAATTGACTCGTTTTGACCATTGGATCTGGTTCAATTGATCCAATCGATCAACTAAAAAACACCTTTTTTTTCAACATATTTATTAGATTTTATTTTGTTCTCCAACCATCAACCTCTCCCAGCCCCAAAAACTTCCATCTCACCATCATCTTTGCCAAACTTCTTATAGATCTCCTTTTCCTAATTTGCTGACTTTTTTAAAAAAAAATAAATTTTCCTTGATTTTTCCCCCGGGCTTCCTTCTTTGGTCATGGTTCTCTTTCAAGTTTCAATTTTGAGATCTACTTCAACCTCAGCATTCATCATCATCATCACCGAGAAACCACAGAAGCTTAGTTGGAAGGGAGGAACCAAAAAAAAATCAGAGGAAGAAGGACAGAGGTTTACGAGAGAGTTTCTCACCATTGGATCGACTTCGCAAAACGGTGTTGATTGGCGACAGAGGTTCTATGGCCAGAGATACCTTTCTAGTCCAGTACCCAAATTTCTCACCGTTGAATCGGTTTCACAGAACGATGTTGATCGGTTTTTGTCATGAATGAGTAGTTAACGAAGGCGAAGACGCAAAGCACGTTTACAGGTCTGATTGCTGCGAAATTGATCCTAAGAGATTGCACTACTTGTCAATGAGGTTGATGGAGGAAAGGATCATGCACCCAAAGAAATATAACGACAACAAATTCTGCCTGACGGGTGGAATAGGTTGGGCGGGCAGAGTGAGTCGAACGGGTCAAGCGGGTTTGGGCGAGTTAACTCTCAAAATGAGTTAAGGCATGTAACTGATCCATTTTTAAGCTCGAGCTGGTTGAACCGATTTGATCGATCGATCGAGCCAAATCGAGTCTTAAAACACTGATAATTAGTTCTGTTTATTTATTTGAAACATGTAATATTGAGTGCATCTACTTTTTTAATAACATACGTAAATTATATTAAAAAAATTTATATAAAAAAATTGCTCCTATATCACCTCTCAAAAATAAAAATATATAGGATAACAAGAGTTACAAGGCCTCCCACATGTGGCTTTTGTGGTGATACAGGAACGACCTTTTTATACAATTTTTTTATGTAATTTTTATATATGATTAAATAAATAAATGTATTTAATATAATATATCATAAATAAATTAAAAAATTAATTATTTAAATGACATGTAAGTATAAAAAAGTGATAAAAAAATTGTTCCTAAATTATTTTTCTTCTGTTTTTAATTTTTAAATAGATTGATATAGGTTTTTTTTTTTTTTTTTGGACAAGGGTAATAGTTAGTAATTAAGTTAAAAATTGTTAGCAACTGAAAATTCAATTTTCAAAACAGGTGATCTCCCACTCCTATCATTGAGGCGCGCAGCCCATTAGGTCGTATGGTGGAGTTTGATATAAGTTCAATTTAAGAGTAAGTGAGAATTTTTTAGTTCTTATTGAAATTATTGTCCATTGTAGCAGTCCATGATTGCAATAAATTACCACATTGGCGCTGACATGGCAATGAATAACAGAATACTAACGAGCACGTGAGTTTGCCGTCCATTTTGGGTGTTTTCAATTGGACTAAAAAGAAAAGGGGTTAAAACTTTCATATTGTAAGTTAAGGGGCTGACAATTTCACAGTCAGTAAGGTGGAGGGCTGGCCATGTATTTTCGCCATTATTTGATTAGCGTTCCCAATTCTTCTTCTTAAATGTGGACTTATTTTTTCAAGTTTCAAAATTCTTTCCATTTTAAGAAAAAGCTTTGTTAACTTTCATATGCTCGGTTTGCTTGCTTTCAAAAAGGTTACAATAAATCTTAGGATGTAGTTTAATAGTAATTTTTTTAATAAAAATAAAAATTTTTAAATTTAAATCACATTACATCCAATTAAAATAGCTGAAAGAATGAGAAAATATTACATTTTATTATTATGCATGATAAAATTTTTTAAACAAAACGGAAAAGGGGAAAGGTTACAATATAACCCTAAGGTAACATCCATTGATATCCAAGAGTTTTCTTGTAGACCATGTTTAGGATTTAAATTTTGTGCGCCCTTAATATTCTTAAGATTGCCAGATGAAGAATTAGTTTGAAGATATACAAAAACATGTTCCTAAACATCTTAGCTATTAATACTAAAAAAAGATTATAATATAATAATTGATTTTAATGTCTAAGGCATAAAGTATATATCCATTTGTTAATAATATAATAATTGATTTTATTGTCTAAGAAATGTATCTACTTGCACTTGGGCCTTCGGCCCAGTGACGTCAAGTCACATATAAGTGCATTTCCCATTTTCAGGGCAACGGTTTGAATATATCTCTTTATTTAATAATATATTATTATAACAACATTATTATATTATTTATGAAAAAATGGAGTTAAAATAATATCCTAAATAATGAAGAGTTACACAGTTATAATTGACTTTCTTTATTCAAAAATCACTTGTAGATAAATATATATACACTTATTTAATATCATATTACTATACAAGAAACAAAATATTGCATTATACACTATACGGTTCTTTCACATGTAAGTTCATATTTTTCCTATTCCTATATGCCTTTGGCTTCAATGAAGAAACTTAAGTTCTTTTTCATGTTAGATCATCAGTCCTATGCCTTCTTAAAGGCCCGAGGCAGGTAATTTTTAGAAACTAAACCTAACACAGGTTAAAACTTAGGTTCAAATAAAAATAAAGAATTCTAATTTTTACACATACCAAAAAAGAATCATTTGATTCATTTGCAACTTCATTCTCAACTGTCCCCTGCAAAGTTAGTTACCAAGATAGTTTCAGCAACATACTAAAATTGAAAATTATGAAGCTGGATACTGTATAGTGCCTAGTGGAGACACTCTGTTTTCACAATCAAACCCTCATCCATTGATGGAATCCAAGAGCTAAAATCATGAAGTCACCTTGTAAGCATTGTCATTGAATACTCGAATCAAATTTCTATCATCAACGATCAACCCCAATCAGGAACAGAATCACATAACCATTCCAAAATCAGAACCAAGTTTGACACAAATAATGTGATTCAACAAAGCTAATCAAGTGCTACAAATTATTAAACCTCTTCCAATAAGCATTGCCAGTTACTTCTTGAATCAAGATTCCCTGATTAAAAATCTCGATTAAAAGACATAGAATCACGACGGCCAAAAAAAAAAACAAAGACAGAATGACAAATCAGCATTGCCAAATTCACAATCAAATTTGACATAGAATATGAGATTGAACTTCTGTTTCCCATTCATAACAAACTATTACATCACCCATGAACTTTAGTGTCACTTCTGAAAGCTAGGAACAGTATAATTCTGTTCATGAATTAACATCTAAATCTAAGCATGTTTGCAACGAGGGCACACATGAGTGCTTGGACATGATGGTCCACCACATTTGTAACAGAAGGAATATCCACACCTACAAAAGTCAATCAGAGAACAAAAATGGGTGAACATAAGTGAATTCCAAGATTAAACCGTCATTTGAAGCAGCAATCTTTACCATGCTTCTCATCTCTTTCAGATAAAGAATACCAAATGAGAAAGATAATTATGTTAACTCGAGATCAAGCTTCAAACTTAAGGCAATAATTTCAAGAATTCAAGTTGCAACCCAGGATATCATACGATTTATTGGAGGATGTTAAATTTCATGCTAATTAATGCAAAGAAATCAGAAAATTGTTCATGAAGAATAAATCAGACCTGCATTTGAGGTAATTGCAACCTTCTATCCTCTCCACAACAATGTTGGACATCTCACCTAATTCTGGTTCTGTGCTAGGTTCAGCACCATGATGTGTTCACGCTCTCTTTCATCCTTGCGCAATTTCTGAAACTCCGCGCATTCGAGGCCAGTGTGCCATGGGACCTTGCACTGAGCGCAGAACAGTCTAAAACAATTGGGACATTCCGATTCCTTCACCTGCTGCAATCCATCGTCAATCAGAAGCGCGGAACAATCTTTGAACGGGCAATAAAACCTCTGAGACCCAAGAAGCATCCCCTCACACAGAGCATCCTCCCACCGATTGAACACCTCTGGCGGGAGAATGCGGCGGCAGTCCTCGGGTTCTAACAGTCCACTGCAATTGGGTACTGGGCACCTGATCCCCGTAATGTTATCTTGCAATTTCAAGGCGACATATTTGGTTATGCAGTCAGTGCAATAGGAATGAGAACACCCCTTGATTTTAAAGGACTCGTTTTGGCTCTTGGGTTCCATGCAGATTTCGCAG